GGGAACAAAGAAATACTTTTCTTTCTTATTCTCATTTCAGATGTCTCGCTTTTAATAAATGATTATCTGAATCTTACAACCAAAGTTTTTATCTGATATAAAATGTATAGAAAGTATAGAAACAAGACAGTGTACATCACTGTCACAACAGCGTTTGTTTTCATTCAAAGGCTTTATGGCTTTTCCTATAATACCTGGTGGGCCGGTCTCAAGTCAAAATGCCCGGGCTGATTTTTTTGTCTCAGTCCAGCCCTGGGCACGACACGCAGGGAATTAATTTGAGCAGGTGCATTAAAAAAATAAATAAATGGCTGGCCCAGCGGTGCACATCGCAAATTAGCTCGCATAGACACATTAGTTGTGCTGCTTCTTAATGATGGTATCTTAGCTAACAACCCCAACTACCAGATTCAACTTGTAATTGGCTACAGATAACTTTGCTTACTGGTGAGAGGGACGTTGCTAGCTGGCAGTTTTTTCGAGCAATGTTGAAATTTCCACTTTCCAACACTTCAAATGCTTCAGGAGCTGTCTGCTCAGTGCAGCATCAGCACCACGGAAATCCGTAGACTCGAGACAGAATTCACAATGCGTTTTCGGGACTTTCAGGTGTATGGACCAATGTTTTCTTTTCTAATCAAACCAGAAAGCTTTAATGAGAAGCTGGATTTGTCTTGCATTAACTGGCTGGACACAGAGGAAATCGAAATGCAGCTGATTGAACTGAAAAGCTCGAGTCTGTGGGGGTCAAAGTTTGCAGAACTACGAACACAGCTGGAATCCACAGCTGTGCGTGTTCATGGAGCTGCATGTTCACCTGCTGGACATCACTACCTGACGAGTTTAACTGTCTTCAGAACATTGCAGAGGCCTTATTGACAGTATTTGGCTCTACATATCTGTGTGAGCAGATTTTCTCTCACATGAGTGTCCTCAGGTAGCCGTCTGAATGCTGGACACTTGGAGACCTGTGTCTCTGAGTGGGAGACCAGAGATCAGATTAACATGTGCGTCTCTGTATTAACAAACATTGGCCCAGTTTATTTTTCTTATCACTGTTGTGAGGAGACCATAAATAGCATTTGCATTTTCTGTTGTACAGTTCATTTGCTGTTATGGATAAAAAGTCTTTTTTATTTGTTTCAAAATAGCTGAAAACTATTCGCTGATAGCTGCCAACATCTGCAAACAAATATAATTCTATATAGTGTGTAACTGTTCATATAGAGCGTTATTACATTTATTGCTAATGCAATCATATGGCACATTGACTTCTGAGGAAATATTATATGGCACTCATGATCAGAAAGGTTGCCGACCCCTGACCTAATGTAACAACCTTCTGTTTGTTAAATGCAGGAATTGCAGTACGCCCCGCAAAACTGTTTTCATTTTTCCTTCGAGTATATAGCAGCATTTTTGGAATTTTTTATCCCCTGTGCAAGACTGAAAAATGAAGACAAAATGCCAAAAACTGAAGTAACTAACTGCCACTTGAGGCTTGCTCTGTAAGCAAGACTCCCATGTGAAAATGCAAAGTTTTATAGTTTTAGAAAGGATGTCTAAAGCGTAGCACAAAAATGGTTTTCACAGTGAGGAAGAAGAAAACAGAAACAGCAAATTCATGCTATTGCTCAAGTGCAAAGTCACACACACTGCGTGTTCACAAAGCAGAGGTTAAAAACCAAGAGTTGTGGTTTAAAAAAATAACAATAATAAAATAAAATAAAAACCTGCATAAGAGGCAGTAGCAAATAACTTGATAGAAACAAAATCATTAAACGAATTCAGGGATAACAACCACACACAGGGAAATATGTATAACTGTAAAGATCAATTCGATTTTTTTTTTACTTGTTGGGTTGTATAACATCAGATGTTGTGGTTGGTGGAAAAATAGAAATGCTCAATGATAATGCATTTTGACTTCCTTCATGTGGAAGATGAGTGTGAAGACACTGACTCAGCAGAGTATGCAGAGCTGAATGATACTGGACATCTGAACAATGCCTCAGCTTCAAGGATTAGACTGGACTGGTGACAATTTAATGGCCTTTAGGTAGATTTAGGGCATGCAGGCTGTACTCAGTTTACACATGAACACGCAAAACTGTGAGACAACCTGGTCACCTACGGCTCTAAGCAATTAAAATGCATGTACATTTAATCTTATTCATAACCTTACCCTTATTCCAAAGCAAATACAAAATGTTGAGATATTTGTGTAGAATAATAGAAGATGTAATGCAGTTCCATAGTTTATCTGTGACATGCAATCATATTCAGTCATACAGAGCCAGTTTGGCCTTGAAATGTTGCTAAAATGTAAAGAAGGCAGCATTGCACAGCAGCTTTGTTCATTTGTGCTGAATATTACACTCTTCTCATAGCTTCTTAGCTGTGGATCTGAGATCAAACGAACTATTTTCCCAAGTTGCATAGTGACGCACCAGGAGTTTATTAAAAGCTAGACAGAAATTTTACACTTTGCAATGCCTACAACATTATTGACTTTGCCTACTTGCTTAAATTACAATTTCAGGGGCATTAACCACGAGTTTAATGTTTGTCTTTGTGTTTCTTACTCTTTAAAGATCACAAATAGTTATTTCAAACTATAGATGACCTTTTAACATTTTTACATGCATACTTTCATCATGTCATTCTCATTATGCATTTCTCTTCCAACACTGCTCTCTCCTCTTCCTCCTCATCTCCAACCTCATCTCCTTAAATTAAGCCAAAGCTCTAACACATGAAAATGTACATAAGTATGCTCAGTTACTCTCCATATTGTCACAATTACTTGTCAGCTGACTAGACATGTGACATGCAGATTAAACAGCTGACAACTAACTGGCTAAAGAAAAATAAATCTCATCCCTTCCATCTTGGGTACTTATAAAGAACTTTACTAAACTCAACTTCCCTAAACGTGTTTTGGATTTAAGGTGTGTATGTTGGTTTGGATATCACTCACCAATGGCCCCTTGGTTCTTGTCATCAGAGACGCTCCATAGCAGCTCTCTGTGAGCATTACTAAGGTTGGGTTGGACCAGTCGGACCAGTTGGTTCCAGCTGGCCTGGGTCACCACTGGCTCGCCGCCCTCCTCCCTTTGCTCCTGTAGAACACCAAATGCTCGCACCATCTTGTGCCTCTTAGCTCTCACTAGCTGCCGTACCTCTTCCTGTTGGAAATGATCATTTTCTTCTTAAATGACATGGAATGTGCAAAGGAAATCTACTGTATTCACAAAAGATGTGACATAAATTTATAGAAAAATAAGTACGTTTAATAAATAATTCCAAGATCCAGGTGCTGCTGTGACAAAGGAACTTTCGGGATATATCTTATTTGATTGAATTGACAAATATTAATCAGATCTGCTTGGTGCTTTATATAAGTTGATATAATCTTATATGGCATATAGAGTATTTTGCAAAACCCTTTGCACAGCTTCTCATGAGGTATGGAAAGTCATTCACTAATCAGACATTTGGCGGTCAATCCCTGGCTGCTTCAGTCTGCATGTCAAAATACCTTTAGTCAAGATACTGAACCCCAAGTTGTTCTCTGATGTATGCATCAGAGTGGCAATGCTTGTGTGAATGTTGCGTGATTTTGTACAATTCTAACGATCCTAAAAGTCAGTATTGGCTCCAACGTCCTTTATTCTTTACCACGGCCTGATATTTCCTAGGCAAGCTTCCTTGTAGCTTTCCTGAAGTAGTCTTCATAAACAGTTCTCCAGGCTTCTTGGAGGAAATTCCATTTTATTAATGTTGAGGTCCTGGTTCTAGGGAGGCCGATCCATGACTGCTTGTGTTCCACCATGTGTTTTTCTAAAAATGCGTGCTTTTATTGCATTGTCAGTGTTTTCGGGATCATTGCCATACTGAAAAATTAAGCCATCACCAAAAAAATGGCCTGCCAGATGGTATTGCATGATCAATGAAATCTGACAGTGCATTTTTATGTACATAGTTTCATCAATTTTGACAAGATTCCCAACACCACCGGCTGAAATGCTCAAACTAGGACAGAACCTTTACTGTGATTTACAGATGGCTATAGACACTTACTGTACCCCTCTGCCAACTTCCTCTGAACATACTGATTTAAATTAAAAATTTAATTTTGGATTTATGATACCATAAGACCTGTCCCACTGATTTTCCGTTCAGTTTTTGTGGACTGTGGTATAGCTTAGCCCTTTCTCCTGGTTTCCCTCTCTTAAGAATGACTTCTTTATAGCTACGCTTCCACTGAGACTATTTGTAATAAGGCTTCAGTGAACAGTAGATAAATCAAATGCAGGTCCAGATACATCTCTCAAGTCCCGTGTCAAGTGTGTGTGGGTTTTTTTTTAATGCGAAGTGGCTCAAAACTTTTGCACAGTATGGTATTTTTTAAAGAAACTATAAAAATATAGAGAACCTGCACAGGAAACGGTCACATGGCTGTACCTTCAAGTATTTTTTATAGTTGTTGTATACGACAGCCAGGAAGACGGACATGAAGATGTAAGTGTTGATAAGGATGTACACAATGAAGAAGACTGCGAAGAAGAAGTTGGAGTTGTATGCTGGCATCCTGACAATAACAAGCAGAAAAAAAGAAGTCAGGCTAAGATACAAAGACAAATAGATACTAATAGAAAGATACTAGATACTAGAAGAAGAAAAACGGTTAGTGTTCACTTCCTTCTTCTTTTCTGTAAAGCTCAGAGAGTTCCCTCTCAAACCAAGAGGTCAGCGCCAGAAAGAAACACAAGAGTTTGTGTGGTTTGAAGTGCTATCTAAATAACAACACTACTTTTACTTCACAAACAGTTTCAAAATACATTATGTCAAATACACTAATAAAAATCAGAGAATTAGGATTATAACTGAGTTTGGCTGAATTGTGTTATTCATGTAGTCTCCTTGCTGTTCAGACATCACGCCTTATTGATCATATAAACAATTCCAGTATTCAAGGAATACGTGCACAACATTGAATGCAACACAAATTACATTCAGTGGGTTTCATCTGAAAAAAATTTTTAACAGAAAAGAGAAAATCTGCAAATTTTTTTTAATCAACTGTCCTTTTTCAAATATTAATAGTTGGCTCATCTCGCCCTATGACAGCTGGGATGGAATAGTTGGTTCAACGAGATAAGCACTATTAACAACAGTGCTGTTTCTTTCTTTCAGTCAGAGCCACTGAATGATGTATAAGATGATGTGAAGATGTCCAATTTAGATTAAAAAGACAGATCTGGATGAAAATGTGACATTTATGCCAGTTTTATATGTACGTGAGATAAAGTGCATCTTAATTGCTCTCCAAATATTTAATCATCTATCATTAATCTGTGAATCTATTTTCATCCATGTTTCATAGTCATCTTTGTCTACTTGATTTTGTTGATTGTTTGACAAAATGCACATAAAACTAAAGTGGAATGAACCAACACTACATTCCATTTTGCAATCACACGCAAAATCTGACTTCCACGTATTTTCACAAACTGAATCATCTCAAAGTAAATACTATATAAAGTAACGTCATGCAAACACAATCAGGGATTTAACGTACTTTAGAAAAAGGCATGCTTCATGAAGACTGAAATAATTGTAAATTGCTTGATCTCAAAGAACACAAATTGAGATTTACAATACAAACTTACATGACGTCAGGGCTATTGGCCGTGGTGACGAGGACGTACAAGTCAAACATGATTTCCAGGTAGCTGGTGAAATATGGTGTTCCATTTATGTTCGTCAAACCTCTAGAGAGAGAGAGAGAGAAAAAATACATACACTTAAAAACTATTGCTAAAACTCAAAAAAGTCCTCTACTTTTTCACTAAAAACAAAACAAAGCAAAAAAACAGAACACATGGCCTCAGTAGAGCCTTTGGGAAAATGTTGACCATTGTCTAACTGCGCCAGGTGTTGTGGCTCTTTGACTGACCAGGAGAACATGTTTGTAAATGTTGCATAAGCTTAAAATCTTTGCTTATTTATATGGATGACATAGCTGGGTGTTTGCACAATTGCCTGTGCAAGCTCATGTTATAAATTACAATTTCACTGGTTGCATCATGCAAGATTTTATTACATAGAGAAAGAAAGAAATCCAGGTAATATATTTGGATTGGATCTCAGATCTTTACATGTATTCAGCTTGTTACAAAATGTCAGAGAATGACCCAGCAAGTCTGTCAAATCTGTTGTCTGTATGCTGCTTACTATTGTCCCTTTTACTCTCATTATTCCAGGCTTCTCACTACACTGCCTGAAAGCTATCATCTGTTACCTACCTGCCCATTATTCGTGTAGAGCGCTTTAGCTTTTGCAGGAAGTGTTTTCAAGTTGCATGGGTCTCAAAGACTCCCAAGTTATATGCAATGTAAATACAGCCTTTTAAAAGATAATAAACAGGCCAAAAAGATGTCACATATATGGAATGAAATAACTTGAATGATTCTAACTGAGAACAAGTTTAAAGAGAATTTGAAAACTGATGTCAAGAGCCAACCTCAGAATAAAAAGGTACAGCTTTCTCACCGTTTGCCCAGCAACTTCAGCGCCATGAGGGCGAAGATGAGGATACTGAACATGAAGAGCAGGAAGACGTAGAAAATCTGAGGCAGAGCATTACGGATGCTCCTGAATGCTCTGCGGAGCTGAACACAAAGGAGCACACAGTGACACAGTTTTACATGCAAAAGCTCTTTCCTTATACACTTATCAACAATGTTCTCAAGTACCATTGGCTCGTGAAGTCAAACATTTACATGTTTAACAACATTATGTCTGCCTCAAACACTCCACAAATTCCTAACAGAGAAAAACTAAACATGATCCATTGATCAAACGGCAGAAAATTCACGACAGACAAAACACCACTTTGAGAGCCTTGATCACGTGAACACAAACAAATGCTCAAACTCTGACCAGATGTGAAAACATTTTCAAGTATGACTTAAACTGAATTTAGGACCAAAGCTTTCTACATGTCTGCAAAACACGAGTCACTTGGATTTCTGGGCAATTTGTCATTTACAACATACATGCATAAAACGTCTGTATGAGCCTAATCACCTCCAGGGCTGAGACTGGGAAAAAAACATGCCAAAAAATGTAGTGGTTAGTACTGTTGACACAGCAAGATGGTTCTTGGTTCTACCACTACTATGTTAGGTTAACTGGTGATTCTAAACTGGCCATGGATGTGAGATAGATAGTGTTTGAAGTACATCGAATAAAATATGCCTATCGAGCGGACAAGCATAGCAGCTGTAATGGTCCACTTGTGAAAATAGATTTGTTGGAGATTTTGTTTGACAACAAATCTGACTGCTGCACTGCCGGACAGGACAGGCCAGGCCAGGCCAGGCCAGGCAAAAAATAAAATAAATAAATAAGTTAATTGTATAAATAATAGAAGTTTGTTAAATAAGACCTAAAAATTCGTTAAATAGAGCCATCTTGTGATGTCTCTGGAATATTTCTTACAGCCAAATCATTAATAATCCCCACAAACACATTATATTTGGTGTCAAAAAACACTGAGCTAATGAAGACGTCATATTTTGAGAATGAACTCCTAACGGGGATGATTTCTTCTTTAACATGTATTCTGATATATGTTATTTCTCTTAGTTTTCTTAGTAATTTCTCCTAATCTTCACTGTAGTACACAAAGTTTCTGAGTTTAACCCTAGGAATGTAATCATAGAAAGAAGACACCGAGACAGTCTATAGTAGAGCCATGAAAAATGTAACCAATGACCTACATTTGACTACAGTGCTTATCCTCACTTTACTTTTAGTGCTTCAAGCCTTCCCATATCAGTTCAGCAGAGCTAGTTCTCTCTAAAGGTGGTGCTCATTACAACTGAAATGGATCATCCTCTGGAGAGGATTTAATGAGGAAAAAAATGGAAAAAAATTGAAATGTTCATGGTAATGAAGCTTTCATTACTGACTGTGGATTGTTTAAACATTCAGTCATTACCTGCCGTCCCTCTGTGACGTTGACCAGTAGAAGCGGCCGCAGGACTCTGGACCAGCGAACACCATAATAATTTGCAGCTTTCAATGCTCCATAAATGATCATATCAACCAAAGTGAGCTAGTCAATGCACAAAAGAACAAAGTCATTTAATGGTAAATGGTAAACAGACTGGTTCTTATATAGTGCTTTTCTACTCTGAGCAATCAAAGCGCTTTATACAACTTGCCTCATTCACCCAGTCGCACAAGCACTTTTTTCTATGCAAGTGCTTCTAACATTCACACACATTGAAAAAATACCAGCTTCAATGCTAGTATTTACTATCTATTTGCATTTCAGAGAGTCAGATGCAGTTCAAGATGCATATGTCAATACTTAAAGTGTTTCCATGACCAAACTAGCTAGATAAGAATAAACAGGATTATTCTAAAAGGAAATTATTTGAGCAGTAGTAGAAGGACAGTCTTCTTTGAAATGAAAATGATTTCATATATAATACAAACAAAATAACAACTTATTCCAAATATTCCAGAAAATAAAAAGTTGTGCAAGAAAATTTGTGACTGAGAGCCTCAGAATCACTGAGTCACAAGGAAGCTTCACTACTTTGGTAGTGCTGAGAAAGCAACATCTTAGGCTAAAGGTTGTTTCACAACAAGAGGAAAGCCTTCTCAGCACATCCTGTCTCTGCAGCTCAGTACACGTTAACAGTTTCAGCTTTCAGACCCTAAACCAGGAAGTCCTCTGGGTGCACACTGCACACTCACCAACTGACAGGAATGTATAACCTCTTCCTAAGTACTTAGTCAAAAACATCTTTACAATGACTTGTTCTGGTTCTGTCTGAGTTAGAGGAGCCTTCTTCCAAAATCTTCCAATTAAAACTACATATATACTAATAATGTGTATAAACCCCTCCCACAATAATGATGCAGATTGGCACTCCTACCGTGAGGATGACAATGATGCAGATATTTTTGGGATCTTTCCAGAACTTGTCACGGAGAATCACCTTGGCATAGTGAATGACTCGAATGGTGAAGATGAGCAGACAGAGTATCTCCACCAGCATGGTGGCCTGAAAAACAACATAACACAACACATGACCATACTTCTGATAATAATTTAACTTCTTGGACTTCACAGTAGCTAGTCTATTTCACTGATCTCAGCTGCACTACTGTAATTGCTGTATAGACCATCATACTGTACAATAGAATAATTATAGTTTTCCAACTGTTTATTAATACTTGCAATTGTATATCTACAACCTGTATAGTTTTCATATTTCTGTATAGTTTTCATATTTTTAAACATATGTATAACCTGTTCATAGCCTGTGCATACTTATAGTATATTCATAACATTCCTTCATACCTTGTACATGTAACATACTAGAATAGATCCAAATTCTGTATTTTATATTATTGCTAAAGCACTTTCTGGATGGATGCAAACTGCATTTCGTTGCCATGTACTTGTGACATGTGCAATGACAATAAAGTTGAATTCTATTCTATTGTATTCTATTCTTCAGGACTGGTAAAATGTTGAATGGCCTGAAAATCTATTCAGTCTTTTTATAATAAAATGCTGAGGTGTAGACAGTAATTAGTATTTCTATTCATACAAGCCACAGAAGATTACATTAGAGTCAGTCAAAGTTAATGGTGTTATTAATTACTTTTACATTACCAGCTATTACTGAACTCCAATTTGGAATTTCAATGATTGCACATTTTACATATAGGTCAAGGGTCAAGTTCAAGGTCAAGTTCATTTATATAGCACATTTCCAAACCGTCCATACTGCACAAAGTGCATAACCATGTAAAATGCCACTGAAACAAATACGATGTAAAACAATGATGCAGTAAAATATGGAAAAAATAAATAAAGTAAATCAATAAAAACAACTAAAACAACAACTAAGGCTGTTACAACCAAAATGTTTAGGTCAAAGTTTGTTAAAAGCCAGACGATAAAAATGTGTCTTCGGTACCGATTTAAACTGATCACGTGTTTGTGCAGATCTAATGCGGGATCTGCCACAGAGAAGGCTCAGTCGCCATGAGACTGATATAGAAAGACATAGAAAAACTGTAGCTACATCAAAATATAATATATACCCTAATACCACTATCTCCCAGTTTCATAAAAACTGTAGCGGTGTGTAGTTTGTAACAAATTACTGCTGATAGAAAAGCAGCTTATTTTAAGTGATTAGAACATTATACTAGAACTAAACATCTTGAGCTGCTGCGTCTCAATCATTATCAAAGATCAGACATATGATACTGTCTCCATAATAGACCTCATCCATCCAAGCGTATTGACTGTACTTGACTGTAACTCTTGTTGTGCTTTAGACACCTGTTGTGAGCTCGCCGTTCACTCTAGCCAGAACCAGCAGCAGTAAGGCTCACCAAGACTGGGGAGCAGACCAAGAAATACAATTGCCAGGTGCAGTCCAAAATGTTGGAGTTCAAGTCTGTCAAGCTCTGAGAGAAGTCTATTTATATAAAAATGGAAGAGGAATTATTGCTAATTCGCATTGTCAAGGAGTGAAGCCAAAAAAGGTGGCAGTAGATAAACCGTTACTCAAAAAGCATCTCTAGACCCAGCAGTCTTAGCTAATTGTAGGCCAATCTCCAACCTTCCTTTCATATCAAAAATCCTTGAAAGAGTAGTTGTCAAACAGCTAACGATCATCTGCAGAGGAATGGCTTATTTGAAGAGTTTCAGTCAGGTTTCAGAGCTCATCACAGCACAGAAACAGCTTTAGTGAAGGTTACAAATGATCTTCTTATGGCCTCTGACAGTGGACTCATCTCTGTGCTTGTCCTGCTAGACCTCAGTGCAGCTTCGATACTGTCGACCATAATATCCTATTAGAGCGATTAGAACATGCTGTAGGTATTACAGGTACTGCACTGCAGTGGTTTGTATCATATCTAACTAATAGACTTCACACATTTTAATGCTTTGCAGATAACACACAGCTTTATCCATCCATGATACCAGATCTCACACACCAATTAGTTAAACTGCAGGAATGTCTTACTCCCGGAAAAGCCTTCAGCTAATCCAAAATGCTGCAGCAAGAGTACTGACAGGGACTAGAAAGAGAGCAGATTTCCCCTCTATTGGCTTCTATTGCATTTAATATTTCTTCTTCAGTCACCTTTCTCACTCACTATGTATTAATAGACCTCTCTGCATTGAATCATATCTGTTATTAATCTCTGTCTCTCTTCCACAGCATGTCTTTCATCCTGTCTTCCTTCTCTCACCCCAACCGGTCGCAGCAGATGGCCCCGCCCCTCCCTGAGCCTGGTTCTGCTGGAGGTTTCTTCCTGTTAAAAGGGAGTTTTTTCGCGGCGCGGCTGCCCCTCTGTTGGTCTTCCTTGGTCTCTTGTGTTCTGGGGGCCTCTGGATGTCTGGAGTTTTGATCTCCTCCATACCTGCTTCATGCCCTGGAGGACGGGGCTGTGGCCCCCCCACACCCTCTAGCAGATCATTACATGAAGGAACCTTTTAAAAAACAAAAAACAAGCGCGTCCATGCTCACAGGTGTACACACGGGTGATCACACCCACAAACTACACCCTTTTTGGCTCCTACCTCAAAGCACACTGTGTTCTGTTGATCTTATGTGCTGCACAATAATGTTTAACATTTAGTATTTACTGTCATATTCCCATATATCATTGTGATGTTGTTTATTCTATTACTCTTGTTCTCTTCTGCTTGCTTTCTTTTTTCTTTCTCAGCAGGTGACCCAGGTGATCGATATATGCATTTTTTTTCTCTGCCCGTTCTGTTGGTTTTTGTCTTTTGCCCTTCTCCCCCGTCCCTCTTCTCAGCTGTTTCTCTTTCCCTCTTTCTTTCTCCCCTTCTTTCCCCCAGTCAAGTCTGTCCCGTATTCAGTAAGTGAAAATAAAATAAACAATAAAAGGTGAATCAAATGGACCATTATCGGCAAGGCTGGGATGGTCAATTTGGTAAAGTAAATCCGTTGGGATCTTTCTTTGCCTTTAGACAACAATTCTGATGGCAAAAGAGCCAAACGGGACAGGCAAAAAAAAAGAAAAAAAAAAAAGGGAGTTTTTCCTTCCCACTGTCGCCAAAGTGCTTGCTCATAGGGGTCATATGATTGTTGGGTTTTTCTCTGTATGTATTATTGTAGGGTCTACCTTACAATAGAAAGTGCCTTGAAAAAGTATGCTAGTTGTTTATTTAAACTGCTATATTTCACTTTTTTGCATTCATTAATTTTGCTACATACTTGCTAAATTTAACATCTGTATAAGTTTAATTACTAGTCAGCCTTTAAACCAAAATGAAACTTAGATTTACAAGAGCCCTCAGAACATCACTTAGTTAGTACTTAGTTTATATCAGAATAATTCTTATAGTGTTTTTTCATAGACTCTGCTTCAATCAGCATGACAGAGGCTCAGATATTTCAGATATATCAGTTCCAATACTGTCTGCATCTCTGAATTTTTCAAAAAGCATTTACGATTGTTTGGACATTTGGCGCTGCTGACAAACCTTTTATTCCTCTCAGCACCCTTAGCCTGCACATTAAAAAGAGAAACTATAAAAACAGGACAGTGTCTCTGTGTGGCAGTTGCAGTCTTACCCATATAGGCAGAGGGTATACAGCTGGATCCTCGAAGATGGCAAGAGACAGATTGACCAGCATGAAGAAGTAGAGGAGTACCTTTAGGGCCCAATGATTATAGAGCATATACAGTCTGAAAATCCACACACAAAGTTGGATATTAGATCAACTCACACTCATTATTCAATCCAAACTGCATGCTATAACTTAAAGTCCTCACATCCAAATGCATTTCACATTAGGGGGAAGTCATTTCACATCCCTCATAGTTTGCCATAGCAGATTGACTAATAAACAGGAGAAAATGTTGCATTTGCTGGGACAATATATTCTACATGAAAAATTATCCATTCAACAATGTTGATTTAAAGCTGTTATAAAGACTAATATGTATTTATTAAAAGTGAAATATAAAGTTATGACACCTTACAGTAAATATACAGAATAAAAAAATACCAACCAGTCAGCACAGGCAAAGAAAGTCATCGTAAACAGAGCTAAAAGAAACTGTTCTAGTCTGACATGTTCAAACTGCTGGTCAAAAATTAAGAGGAGACGGAGAGGAGTGAAGCATCTTCCAGGCTGAACAGATTAAATATACGTGTGTACAGAAATCAGCACAACAGAAATACAGCAGAGACAAACAAAATAATTATAGAATTTCCACATATTTAATATGGATGGATGGATGGATGGATGTGAAAGCCGCACCTGACAGCCTGAGGTGATGTGTCAAAGTAGACATTTCTGTTGTACTGGGCATCTGACACATAGATGGCAGCCAAGTTAAAATCCTGAAACACACAGAAGGGCATTTAAAGCATTTAAATATTACTCTCAATATAAGAAGATCTGCAAAATAAAAGGTATTTAACGCTGAAAAATTAACATAAATTAAAACAAATCTACTATCTGATTGTTTTTTTTTAGTTACATATAGTTGTTTGTTTCCTTAATTCTCACATTTCCTTTGTCTGTTAGTGGATTGTTTTTGTTTTTTCGGCCGACTTGTGTGATACATATATGAATGGTATGAGATCAAGTGTAAACCATCATTATGGTATTATCCATAGGCACACTGGCTAAGGTACAGCATGAATTACAACAGCCTTACCTAAGCCATTTCTCTGTGTGAGATACAGCAGGCAAAATCAGTTTTGACCATGTGACAAACTGTTGCTATTGATAAGAAATTCTCACCAGAGAAACCATCCAATCCACACATGCAAAGAAATCAAAGCACAGATCCCGATAAATTATGTGTAATATAAGAAATGATACAGAAAACATACTGAACACACTAAGAAAGGGATGTACAAAAAGGCATGGAAAGTCATGACACCAGCTGAATAATATCAGTAAGCAGTCCTGCCACTTGGTTCAAATTGATGTTGGTTCATTCAAACTGATGGCCTATAAAAACATGTCTCATAAGAAACATGGGTAAAACCAATGAGGACTCTCAAGACCTTTGAAGCCTTATTGTTGCAAAACATACTGATAGCATTGGTTACAGAAGAATTTACAGAAGAAACTACTGAAGGTTCCAGTGAGCACTTTTGAAGCCAATATCCGGAAGTTGAAAGAACATTATTTCACCATAAACCGGCCACGACCAGGTGCTCACTGCAAGATTTCAGACAGAGAAACAAAGGCAAATGATAGTATGCATGTTCAATACATTTTCCACTCTGTCATTTCTCATTATTACACATAATTTATGGTAATCTGTGGTTAGACTTCTTTACATGTGTAGACCGAACTGGTTGTTATTGGCATCTGGTGAGAATTTTGTATCAAAAGCACCTTTAGAAATATATTTACTTAGAAAATTGGTGGCACGTTCAATACTTATTTTACCCACTGTAATTATCAGCAGCTTCACCGAAAGGTTGAGGAAATGAAAACAACTTGCAGAAGCACAGACTCAGGGTCAGCAGTGACCTGCTAGACAGAACCTCAGTGATGGATCCTTGGTTCAGGGCCAATATACATCCCAAGCACCAAAAGACTAGACTGCACTTAAACACAAAACTGTGTTTGAGGTCAAGTCTATGCTGTCTGATTAATTGGTGACCACAGTGCATGAGCCTGAAGGCTAGCAAAGAATAGTGCAACTGGTAAGAATCACTGGCAAGCAGGTCCTGAGCTGTGACGAGAGAGTTTTAAGGTGATTTACAGTGATTTAATATAGAAGGCAGTTCACTCAAATAGTGGAAGGAACATATAGATTGTTTGTTTCAAGCATTGAACCATCTGTCAAAAATGGTCCGTGAAAAAAAGGGGTCCCCTTTTTTTTGGGGTTTTTTAAACAGTCGCCCAAAGCTATCGAATAAAATCTATTTTATTTGTCAATGATTCACTTAATGCACAATAAAGTCATCTTTAACAGAGAACTAACTAGGGAAGTTGGAAGCTGTATACTAGTGATGGGTGCTTTATGGGGCTTAAAGGACAAGAGTCCAACAGTTTACTGCAGTCGTGGAATCATTTGCACGTTCTCCAGGCCATCGCTGACAGAAAACCTGCACAATCACATTATAATCACTTGTAGTTGTGCAGGAGCGTCCAGCTGTGTCATACCTCTTCGCTTTTTGCTGTATTCCCTGTGTCTGAATTTCCTTTTCTTGCAGACGCTTCGGGAATGTTTTCATTCTTCTCTGATTCAGACATCTCTCAACACGACCGACACAAAACGTCCCAAAATGTTTCTTCTAACTTTTTAATGACTCTCGAAATGTCTCCAAACTTTCACTACCAGCTCCTCGGCGTTTCTAAGTGGTGAAAAAAAGAAAAACATATATCCAAACTTAGTTTAAGTCGCACTTTTTGATGTAAACGTCACATCAAGCGTCATCCACGAGATTCGCATCAGAGGATTTCTTTCCAGTGGCATAAAAATGACAACCGCTTGCCATCTATCTCAGCCTACTGATATCTGGTCAGAGCCGCTTCAAGTCTTGCTCCAATAAACCACGACTCTTGCTGACTTCACGGACCAGCGGAATGAATAAGGAGGAAAAAATACAGTGATGTGTAAAACAGGCTGATTACCATTAAACAAAGCAAAAACAAACTATCTCATATTCCCTAATAACGAAGTTGCAGATAGCGAGTAAGTAATAGACTTACAAAACGCAAAATGTTACGTTTTAACCAGATTTAGAGTAGTTGACCAAATGTCTCAATGAAAATCAACAATAAATGCATAAAAGGTTGAAGATTTTTTTTAAAACTTTGAATAAATAAGTAAAAGGAAAAAGCCTATTTTCGTAGCATTGTTGCTACATGTCATTGTTACATGTCCCTTTTTATTCTTGTCCAATTAACCTCTACAATTTAATTTGTTCTATACTTATTCCTTTGTAGTGGTTTCTATAAAAGAATTATTTTTGGTGCTTTTTTCTTTTAGGCCCACCGTTTTCACTGTTGAACTCGTATTACTATGCTGTTGTATTTTTCAGACATTACTCGGAGACAGTAAAAGCACCATGTGGTATCATGTGACTCAGCACGATAACGGAAACTGGGAGAAAGAGTCAGAGGCATTTCAAATAGTGGGAAAATTAGGAGAATATACAGAAATACAAGTTTTTGCGTTATTGTGGGGTCTTCATCCTACAATATAACGTGCCTTGATGCGACTGTTGTTGTCATTTGGCACTGTATAAACGAAATTGAATTTAACCCTTTAGCGCGTTTGCTGATGTTACATTTAGTGAACCACATAACAAAAATACTTGTCCATGGCATATTGAACTTACTTTGTATATATACTGCACTTTTGCACTGTCACTATAGACTTCTTCCCCTGCTGTTGGATAGCCATCACTAGTTTGTTCATCTGTATCTGGAAGCAGGGGCAGATCTACTGTGGTGGTGATCTCTGCCACCCCTACTGCCACCCTAGTTTTGCATATGACAGTATTGTTTGTTAAAATAAGCTAGCATTAAAACTTTGAGCCTAGCTACATTAACATTGAATATAAATTCTAAAACTAAATATGCAGGCCCGATCAAAAGTTTAGGACCACTTGAAAAATAGCAAGAAATCATGTTTTGCATGGTTGGATCTTAACAAGATTCCAAGTAAAGCTTCAACATACAACAAGGAGAAAGAAAACGTTTTTTGAACATGCAATTTATTGAAAACAATGCTTAAACTGAAACAGGCTGTTTTACAGATGATCAAAATCTTAGAACCACATGCCTTTAAAATGCCAATTCTGTGCAAAAATGTGGTTTCGTTGTCATTTTCTGTCAGGTAGTCTCACTGTCATAACTTTCTGATGGCAAAGGCAAAAAAAAAAGTTCCCTTTTTGAACGTGGTTGGGTTGTTGAACTGCATAAGCACGGTTTCTTGCAGCGTCGCTGCTGAGGTGGGATACAGTAAGACAGTCATTTGGAATTTCTTAAATGATCCTGAAGGTTATGGAACAAAAAAGTCAAGTGGAAGACCCAAAATAATTTCACCAGCACTGAGCCGGAGGATAAAATTGGAGAGAGAGACAATTTTCAAAAAGATAAGACATTTATTGGAATGTTAATCATAGGGTTAATCATTCTTAATTTCGCTGTTCTTTCTTAATTTCGTTGTTCTCGTGACAATGACAATAACGTTTCTGATTCTGATTCTGGGTGTTGTAGTTTGTTGTTGTTTTAGTTTATATGCTTAATTCGTTTTATGTGTGTATTGTATATGAGTGTAGACTTGTATATAGTTAAACATGCATGGATAATATAATGTCGAATTCTGAATATTGATTTATAAACAATGGGATTTTAAAAAAGTGGGTAGGAAATGAAAAAGTGTAAACTTCATCCTACTGTTTTTCATAGTGTAAATAGTGGGAACAGCTCATGCAAGTGGGACCCTAATCTGCCCGATGTACTCTGAGCCCCTCTCAAATGACTGAACTCCTCACCCTGTTTCTAACGGAGAGGCCAGAAAGCTTATTTTTGCCACTTGTGTCCACTATCTCATTCTTTCAGCCACTATTATAGGTCATAACCTCAGATGAGGGAAATGACATTGATCGACCAGTAAATTAATAGCTTCCCCTTTATGCTCAGCTCTCTCTTCACTACGACAGAATGATTCAGCATCCACATCCCTGCAGATATTGACAGACTGATTGGTGCACTATCTTGCACCCTTCTCTCCTCACCCCTGAAAAAGACCCCAAGATATTTAAACTGCTCCACTTGGCAGCAACTGTTTTAGTGATTTTGTTTTATCCAAATAAAATTCAATTCAATTCAATAAATTAATGATTAATTAATTAAAGAGCATTGACCTGTTTTATGTTTTTAGGAGTGAAGCTTTGTGGATGATCCTTAAGCCTGTTAGCTCATTTCTGCCATTTGTAGTTGAGATGTCATTCTTTCAGTTCATTTTTCAGAGCTTGTGACCACAGGTGATGGTAGATCGATCTGTAAATCGTCAGCTTCCACGCTGAGCTCTCCCTTCATCATAGCAGATGTGTACAGAATCCACATCACAACTAGTATGGTGAAATACTAGTTGTCTCTCAATCTTTAGCTCTTCCTCCTGAGACAGTAACTTGCTCCTGTTGTTCCTCCTTCAGCCCAAAGATCAAAGAGTTGGGGTATTTAACACCCCTAAGTGGGTACTCCATCTTTTCCCAACTGAAGAGCATGGCCTCAGATTTTGAGTTGTTAATTTTCATCCCAGTCACTTCACACGTGTTGCAAACTGCCCCAGTCTGAGCTGGATGTTGTTGATGAAGCTAAAAAAAAAAAAAAGATACATCATCCATAAAAAGCTGAGATGAGATCCTGCAACCACCAAACCAGACACTCTTCACCACTTGGCTGCAACTGACCAAAGACGAGAGATGGTTATTTTATACATTTATTTTTTCCAAATAACTGCACTAACAGTTGTCACCTAGGTTCTTGCTGATGATCTTGGAGCCCATTCCAGCATGGAGCAAGTCTTCAATTATGTCCCTTCAATCAACAGCTCTTTGGTCCTGCCCATGGTGGTGAGGTGGTTGGAGCAGCAGATATCAATTCAGTGGACATGTGTGCATTATACACATACGCTGAAATCAAAAGTATCTGTAATTGACTGATTGTAGTCAACCTGTGCGAATTCTGGCTGGGTTGTAGGGGAACAGATTCCTATTTCACTCAATGACATACAAAACAACCTTTTAATGTATTTTTTAAGATTCTTTTTGTTGACATGTCTCTCTCAATTAAAATGAAGCTACCATAAAATTTATTGCTGTTCATTTTTTGTGAGCAAATTTTAAATTTCTACAGGGGATCAAATAATTATTCCCCTGACTGGACCACCGGCTTGACATACTCAGTAAGCAAGAAACTTAAGGTAAGGGGAGATTCCAACAGATTTATTTGATATGGATATGAAAACAATCACATTTAATGAAACAATGTTTTTTTCTTAATGACAAGAAACAAATCATTTTTGGATACATTTTTAACACAGTATTAATACTGTGGTTTTAAGTGTCTGCCCCAGTTGAAATAAAATTTGACTATTCGTGCTTTAGTTTAAGATAATTCTTGTTAGCAGCACTGATATCTATAATTTTAGGTGTTTAAACTGAATTGGTTAACATGAAGAAATAAATACAATCTTCCAACAATACACTGTGAAGCTGAGTAAGTCCACCCTTTAAATCAACATAAAAAAAGTCTTAATCACGACATTTATTTTATTGAAATATACATTTCCATGTTCTTAATTACTTTAAATCACAACTTGAAACATCAATTTATTTTTAACTAACTCAAGAAAAGTGTCAAACTGTCCAACAAAACTGATTTTTTACAGCAATCGTTTCAAACTTGACATTCTCAAGTGGATGTGGATGGATAGAGTACAGTCTTTATCAGTTAATGTGGGGCACAGTCGTCTGGAGGCTGATTTCTATCCTTCCATCATTCCAGGGACTTCAATAAAAATCAGTCTGGTCTCCCTTCAACAGTTTTCTTTTTGACTGCAACCTCAGAGCGCACCACGCTCTTCATAGTTCTCTGCATTATCCATGTAGCCAGGTGGATAGTCACAAAGGCACCAGAGACAGCCCACAGCCAGTTCCTTCTGAGCCAGCTCTGAGGTTTCATGGTGACACCACTGCAGGGGAAGAAGAAAAACAGTATTTACTCACAAACACTTGGTATACAGAAAAACATGGCAGAGAAGCCAAATAAAATTGACCATTTTCACAGTTATGGTAAATGGCCTGTATTTATATAGCGCTTTTCTAGTCCCTAAGGACCCCAAAGCGCTTTACATATCCAGTCATCCACCCATTCACACACACATTCACACACTGGTGATGGCAAGCTACATTGTAGCCACAGCCACCCTGGGGCGCACTGACAGAGGCGAGGCTGCCGGACACTGGCGCCACCGGGCCCTCTGACCACCACCAGTAGGCAACGGGTGAAGTGTCTTGCCCAAGGACACAACGACCGAGACTGTCCAAGCCGGGGCTCGAACCGGCAACCTTCCGATTACAAGGCGAACTCCCAACTCTTGAGCCACGATCGCCACTCAAGAGTTTGTTTTTAATCACAGGTAAACAAAGGGTGTATGTCTCACTTGCTGTGGCACTGGGAAACTGAACCATCTGAACTGTGAGCTGCAAGGAAAAGGTAAGACTGCTGCTGACATGATAAATGCATTTAAAGCCACGATGAGAAAAAAGCCCTGCACTTTCCCTCCAAACAGCCACTTTGTTCTCACTGTTTCGATGATATCACATGTTTTAACGACAGTCCAGCCATACTACAATAACTGCAAAGTGGGGTGTGCGTAATTATTCAGCCCCCTTTGGTCTGAGTGCAGTCAGTTGCCCATAGACATTGCCTGATGAGTGCTAATGACTAAATAGAGTGCACCTGTGTGTAATCTAATGTCAGTACAAATACAGCTGCTCTGTGACGGCCTCAGAGGTTGTCTAAGAGAATATTGGGAGCAACAACACCATGAAGTCCAAAGAACACAGCAGACAGGTCAGGGATAAAGTTATTGAGAAATTTAAAGCAGGCTTAGGCTACAAAAAGATTTCCCAAGCCTTGAACATCCCACAGAGCACTGTTCAAGCCATCATTCAGAAATGGAAGGAGTATGGCACAACTGTAAACCTACCAAGACAAGGCCGTCCACCTAAACTCACAGGCTGAACAAGGAGAGCGCTGATCAGAAATGCAGCCAAGAGGCCCATGGTGACTCTGGACGAGCTGCAGAGATCTACAGCTCTGCAGCTGTGTGTGGAGGAAAACTAAAACTCTGAAATGCATGTGTTGCAGATTGGCTATAATCTAATCTTTTATAAACCACCATCTCCCTCTGGATGGTGGAGGAATCTGTCCATAGGACAACTATAAGTCGTGCACTGCACAAAGTTGGACTTTATGGAAGAGTGGCAAGAAGAAAGCCATTGTTAACAGAAAACCATAAGAAGAGGCGTTTGCAGTTTGCCACAAGCCATGTGGGGGACACAGCAAACATGTGGAAGAAGGTGCTCTGGTCAGATGAGACCAAATGGAACTTTTTGGCAAAATGCAAAACGCTATGTGTGGAGGAAAACTAACACTGCACATCACTCTGAACACACCATCCCCACTGTCAAATATGGTGGTGGCAGCATCATGCTCTGGGGGTGCTTCTCTTCAGCAGGGACAGGGAAGCTGGTCAGAGTTGATGGGAAGATGGATGGAGCCAAATACAGGGCAATCTTGGAAGAAAACCTCTTGGAGTCTGCAAAAGACTTGAGACTGGGGCGGAGGTTCACCTTCCAGCAGGACAACGACCCTAAACATAAAGCCAGGGCAACAATGGAATGGTTTAAAACAAAACATATCCATGTGTTAGAATGGCCCAGTCAAAGTCCAGATCTAAATCCAATCGAGAATCTGTGGCAAGATCTGAAAACTGCTGTTCACAAACGCTGTCCATCTAATCTGACTGAGCTGGAGCTGTTTTGCAAAGAAGAATGGGCAAAGATTTCAGTCTCTAGATGTGCAAAGCTGGTAGAGACAGACCCTAAAAGACTGGCAGCTGTAATTGCAGCAAAAGGTGGTTCTACAAAGTATTGACTCAGGGGGCTGAATAATTACGCACACCCCACTTTTCAGTTATTTATTTGTGTTTGGAATCATGTCTGATTTTCGTTCCACTTCTCACGTGTGCACCACTTTGTGTTGGTCTTTCACGTGGAATTCCAATAAAATTGATTCATGTTTGTGGCTGTAATGTGACAAAATGTGGAAAAGTTCAAGGGGGCCGAATACTTTTGCAAGCCACTGTAACTCTGACACTCATTCTGTTTCAATTGATTACATATCAGATGTTTCTAAAAATTGACTGCAGTCCACCTGTGATAAATTCAGTTGATTGGATATGACTGGGAAAGGCACACACTTGTCTATATAAGGTCCCATATGTAACAGTGCACATTGTCGCACAAACCAAGCCGCGAAGTCCAAGGAATTGTCTGTAGACCTCTGAGACAGGATTGTATCGAGGCGCAGATCTGAGGAAAGGTATAGAAAAATTTCTGCATCTGCAAAGGTACTTATATAGATAGCTTGGCTAAGTAATTGCTCAAAGGAGGTCATTTGCTTTATCAGTATTACTGTATGATATTGCCGAGTTGTTGTAGGTTAGATTTGGTGCCATATAAATACAATTAAATAGAATGTTACATTATCTTGATAGTTTTCATTCTTGAATATCTTCACCTGTTAAATTATAAAAAAAATATCTCTAAGTTTTGAAAATATAAAATAGATGGATAAAACTTTACACTTTGACCACTCAGACCAAAAAATCTATTCCCTGTAAACATTTATTCATTCATTTGGGTGTGACTCTTATCAGCTTTTTGGGCTGAGTTCTAGTGGGGGATGGGATGATGTCTGTGGAAATTTGTGACAGAACTGAGCACGACAGTCGCACAGCAAACTGAAACTTCCAGGAAACAGGACATTAGAGGACTACCAATAAAAATTATGTCTGACTCCAGTCTATTTACACCTACAGGCGAGCTGCCACTCTTTTACTGATAAGGATATACACATCCTGGATGGTGGTTTGGAGTCAAGGAGGCCATTTACGAAAAAGGGAAAGACGATCTCTGAATCAAGGAGGGGGCCTGAGGGTAAATCTTTCATCATCTTACGATGCTGCCTTGCCAGTAATCAAATAACCTGCTGGAATAATCAGATGGCCAAAGAGGAAACTGAAGCCACTAACATCAAGACAAGAAATCTCCTTCCGTGCATGGAGGGTTAGCCCCAAATCCAGCACCCTGAGACTGTATGCAAAGTGGAAGGAAGATGAGAACTAGTCAGTGTCAGAACTACTATCCAGGATGAGACAACAAAGATTTAGTTTTTTGTTAGTTTGTTTTAATTTAGTTTAGATGTATTCACTATAGTTTAGTGAATACCTCTTGCAGCAGAATCCCGAGAGAAGAGAAGCAGGAAAAGGAACCATCACGGAAGGATGGGAGCCTGCACGGTATGTGCCACCATCAGACAGAAGAAGAGACTGACATCCACAAATACTGTCAGTGGCTGGACAAAGCTGAACTGAAAGACAGCACTAATATGGCAGAATAGGAACAAGACCCCGTAGGCTGTACAGAGATGCTAATGAGAAAATTTCAGCACATAGCAACAATGTGCAAGATGCTAGCAGGTATGGCATACATAGAACACCATAACCAAATGTCCCCTTAGGGTAGCTGAGAATGACAGAGTTAAGATCCTGTGGGACTTGCAGATACAGACAGAAAAACTGGTGATGGCAATCCACGAGGAAGACAGCTGTAGTGACAGATGTAGCTATACTGAATGATAGCAGCTCGAGAAGTGCCAAGAGCTGAGAAGAGAGCTCAAGAAGATGTGGAGACTGAAAGCAGCAGTAGTCCTCGTTGCAACTGGAACACTCAGGGCAGTGCCCCCAACACACACCCACCCACACAAATACACTTCTCAAGCCCCCAGAGGTCCTGCGCAGCATCTTTGTTGTCATTCAGTATAGCTCTATTTTATCAGTATAGCTATATTTTATCACTACAGCCGTCTTCCTCTGCTTGTCCATCACTATGATGTTAGGCTGTTAGCCATCACCGGTAGGGATGGGTACCGGTATCCGGTGCCATTCTGACATAAACAGTAGTAACCAGACTATCCAAGGATAGTAGGCGGGCCCAGGTACGTACGTTCTTTTAGAGCAGAGTTACAGATTAAAAATGCCCAAAGCGAAGCGGTCAAAAGTCTGGCTGTACTTCACAGCAAAAGATGCAAACTCAGCAGCCTGCAACAAGTGCTTTAAGGTGATATTGTGCAAAGGAGGTAACTCCTCAAATCTGATGAAAAACCTGGCCCCTAGCCCTGCCAGTGTAGCAGAAATGATGATGGATGATGGCAGCAGCAGCCGTTCTTCTCTGGTGAGTAGCTTAATGTTGTTCGTGTGTAATTTACGTTGAGTAGGCTAACCACGTTATTACATTAATGCATGTAAGGTGAACTAGCAAACACCGTCTAGTTACATGCGGCTGTCTTCTTGTTTGATAGAGTGATACCATATATGCCCTATAGCTGCAGAAAAGGCTAACATTGTTATCTTTTTACAAAAAAAAACAGCTAAACATGAGAGGTTTTAGGACAAAGTTTGTGTTTTCCATTGTTTAAGCACCGGTTCCAACCAAAGGAGGTATGTTGTATCAACAGAAAAGGCTAACTTGGTTATCATTTTGCAGAAAAAAAGAGACTGCTAAAAATAAAAACATAAGAGGTTTTTGGACAAAGTTTGTGTTCTCCATTCTTTAAGCACCGGTTCGAGCACGTTTAAGCACCGGCACCATTTCAAAAGTACCGGTTTGGCACCGGTATGGATAAAACCTAAATGATACCCATCCCTAATCACCTGTTTATCTATCTGTATCTGGAAGACCCACAGGATCTTGGCTTGTGTCCCATTTTGACCTCGGGACTTCCAGGCCATAATCGGCTCAGAAGTTAAAGTATACTATGCCAGCTATTTGGTTATGGCGCTCATGTATGCCCTGCCTGCTACCATCTTCACCCTGCTGTTATGTGCTGGATTG